GCGCGCGCGCGCGCACACACACACACACACACACACGGTGGGGGAGGGGCAGAGGGAGAGGGAGAGAGAATCTCAAGCAGACTCCCTGCTGATCCTGAGCCCGGAGCCCAATATGGGGCTCCGTCTCACGACCCTGAGATCATGACCTGAGGCCAAAATCAAGAGTCAGACACTCAACCAACTGAGCCACCCAGGTGCCCCTCGCGCCCCCCCCACCCCCCCAGTGACACATCTGAAGCGTACTGGTGAGTTATTTTGTTTTCCCTCATTTTGGGGTTGCCTGATTGAAAAAAATTGTTCAGCAAGCATTTTATAACTAGAAGTGTTCTCTGTTTCTGCTTGAGGTAATTGTGTTGTAGGAAAAGTTGACCTTCTATATTGTTTTGTGCTTAGTTTAATGGCTATGCTGGGAGCCTCTTCTCAAGTGGGCCCTATGAAAAGGATGATGAGGAAGCAGATGCTATTTATGCAGCTCTGGATAAAAGGATGGATGAAAGAAGAAAAGAAAGAAGGTAAGATAAATTATTGCTCTTTACACTGTAATTACCCAACTTTATTTATTTCTCTATTATTTTATTTAATTTTTTTTTTAAATTTATTCATTTGAGAGTGAGAGAGACAGAGAGCACAAGCAGGGGGAGAGGCAGAGGGAGAGGGAGAAGCAGACTCCCTACTGAGCAGGGAGCCCAACACGGGGCTTGATCCCAGGACCCTGAGATCGTGACCTGAGCCACCCAGGTGCCCCTCTTTTATTTTATTTTTTTAAGTGGGCTCCACACCCAGCATGGAGCCCAATGTGGGGCTCAGACTCACAACCCTGAGATCAAGACCTGAGCTGAGATCAAGAGTCAGACGCTTAACTGACTGAGCCACCCAGGTGCCTCTATCTATTTACTTATTTATAAAGATCTTATTTTTAAGTAATCTCTACACCTGTGGGGCCCAAACTCACAACCCCGAGATCAAGAGGCACACATTCCCTGATGAGTCAGCCAGGCACCCCTGTATTTATCCAACTTTAAAAGAGAGTTTTGTTTTGGACAGAAGTTGCAAGTATAGTACATGGGTCTGCTCAGCTCTGAGGCCACCTGGGTCTTGGTTTATGGCAGCCACACTTGGATAAACACCAGGCAGTTGGAAAGTAGTCTTAGGGTCTGGGGACTGGAGTGGAGAGCTTAAGATGTCTTTGGCTTTCCAGAAAGCAATGGAATTTGGGGGATTATTCTTTTTTTTTTTTAAGATTTTTATTTATTTATTTGACAGAGACAGCGAGAGAGGGAACACAAGCAGGGGGAGTGGGAGAGGGAGAAGCAGACTCCCTGCCAAGTGGGGAGCCAGACGCGGGGCTTGATCCCAGGACCCTGAGATCATGATCTGAGCCGAAGGCAGACGCTTCACCGACTGAGCCACCCAGGCGCCCCTGGGGGATTATTCTGACCACGGGTTAGGATTATTGTCTTTGAAATGGGTGTGGTGGTGTTGATTAATGTATATTAAGTAATTTGAAAGTTAACTGAAAGTGACAAATGAACATGTAAATCCTCATAGGCAGGGGTTGTGTCTTGAGAATCTCCTTCCACACATCTGTGTTGGGACACGAATGTGGGGTGTTGGGCTGGGCTGGTGGGGATGGACTGTAGTGAGTCTGGAGGGAGCATGTGCGCTCTGTCCTTGGGGGGCCTGTTTGAGAGAAGACTACTCAGCAAGGCTCTCGTGTTTTGTCTGTGGGGGCTCTCAGGTGGGTGTCTTGCACTGAACTTTGGTCTAGCAAATTTTTGTTTAAAGATTTTATTTTATTTGAGCGAGAGAGCATGTGAACAAGTGGGGGTTGGGGGGGTGGGGCAGAGGGAGAGGGAGAAGCAGACTCTCCTTCGAGCAGGGAGCCCAACGTGGGGCTCAATCCCAGGACCCCGAGATCATGACCTGAGCCAAAGGCAGATAGATGCTTAACGGACTGAGCCACCCAGGTGCCTCAAGGTCTAACAAATTTGTTTATTGGTGTTATCTCAGTGTACCATTTGATATGGCAACTTTCTGAATTCCCTGTCCTTGTTTCTAGGGAAATTTAAGCAAAGTGAGCACATAATCTTTTAAACCATAATAAATTACATAGCTTTGTAAGTCTTTTAATATTTATAAATAAATTTTAAAAATGAAATGAAGTTACAAATAAGAAACTTAAAATTTTTTACTACTGAAAGAATACATTATCATTAAAGCATATCAAGACAGTGAGACGAAATATAGGTAAGAGGATAACATTCCTAAGTCTGGAAAGTGATAGTTAACATTTTGGTTCACTTTCCTTTCTCTATTGCTCATTCATACAATTCTGTGACTTCTCATAATGTGTGTAGTGTTTTTAATTTTAGAAAAGTGAAATACAGTTGTTCAGGGTTTTTTTTTTTAATACTTGTTATTAAATCGGTGTGCATGAATTTATATATATATATAGTAATTAAGTATACGTGGTTTTGCACATTAGGGAAGGTTTGATTTCAGTCTTCTGGAATTTATTTAAAAAAAAAAACTGAGTGACATGGATACATGTAGAAAGTCCTCTCATTAAGTGTGTTATTATTATTATTATTTTTTAAAGATTTTATTTATTTATTTGTCAGAGAGAGAGACAGAGCACAAGCAGGGGTAGCAGAGGCAGAGGGAGAAACAGACTACCTGCTGAGCAAGGAGCCCGACACAGGACTCGATCATAGGACCCTGGGATCATGACCTGAGCTGAAGGCAGAAGAGCTGAAGGCAGACACTTAACCGACTGAGCCTCCCAGGCATCCCTTATTAAGTGGCTTTAGAAAAATGGTTGGCTTTTTAAAATTTTGTTAGGAATGCTTTTCAGGATACAAACCAGTAGAAAGAACAATGCAGCAAATATCGATGCCCTCGTGGAGTCTGAGCCCTGGGTCACAGCTTGCACATTTGTTTCTTCCACATCTGCTGGTGGTCTTGCTGGGTTGTATCAGGGTCAGTTTATGCTCCTCACTGACAGCGCCTTTGTTGCATCAGCAGCATGAACCCCAAAGCTCTAACCCAAAGATGACCTGAGAGCCAGTCCACATCCATGTTCTCCTGCTCGTCTTCAGAATAGAGTAGAACTGCTTTTTTCAAACCAGGACACAATCAGAATCACTCCACGTATCATGTCTCCTAAGTCTACCCCCCTCCCCTGCCTTTTTCACCTCTTGGTGATATTGGCTTTTTGAAGAGATCAATTGTTTTGTAGAAGGGCCCAAGCTATGGAACGGCTGCCTATCTCCTCAGGTGTCCTTTAACTTGTTCTGCTTGCAGTATTTCCTGTGGAGTGGAAGTTGGATCCTGAGGCTGCATTCAAATCAGGTAAAACGTGTTTGACCAGAAAATCTGATACCTGCGTGATGCTTCGCATCAGAAGCCACAAGGACTGACTTTCTCCAGCTCCTGGAGTGGTGTTTGTCTTTTCCAAGCACATCATTTGTCCTAATACATTCACATTCCTGATATTTTCTTTTTACCTATGGAAGAGAATGTAAATCTCAATGTTAGGAAGTATTAGCTATGTGGGTCACATTAACTCTGGTTTGCTTAAGTTGGTTGATGCTTTGTCACAGTAACCCACAGATTTCTTCCGAGTGCCTTGACCTCATCCTCGATCACCAGAACCCAGTAGCTGTCCATCCCTGAAGACCAGTTGCATGGGTGATAAGACAGCCCATGAGTTCTGGCATGTGGAGCAGAGAGCTGTTTTGACAGGTGCACTGGCTGCTTCAAAGGGAGGGAGACAGTGACAGGCAGAGAGTCAGAAGGGCAACTGGGACAGTGGGTCAGCTTTCTTGAGTCTTCGTAGGGTGGCCCTACCTTTGGAATTTTGTAGAAGTTTAAAGCTATAAATACACTCATGTTCAAATACAAGTATTTGTATCAGAGTAAGACAACTTGTTTTTATTTTAGTGAGTTTCTGCTTATTTTCATTTGGTAAATCATTGAGTCAGTATATTTGTGGATGTATTCATTGCGCCCTTTGATTTAGCTGATGGGTGTGTGGAATTATGCTTCTGGTGATTTAATTAAGTATAATAAAATGACTGTTTCAGAATGGGTTTCCAGTATTTCTTTTTTTTTTTTAGATTTTATTTATTTATTTGACAGAGAGAGCGAGAGAGCACAAGCAGGGAGAACAGTAGAGGGAGAGGGAGAAGCAGGCTCCCCGCCAAGCAGGGAGCCCGATGTGGGGCTCGATCCCTGGGCCCTGAGATCATGACCTGAGCCGAAGGCAGACGCTTAACCATCTGAGCCACCCAGGCGCCCCGGTTTCCAGTATTTCTAATGCATGCACACATTTTACTTCCTAGGGAGCAAAGGGAGAAAGAAGAAATTGAGAAATACCGAATGGAACGCCCCAAAATCCAACAGCAGTTCTCAGATCTCAAAGTAAGTGGATGGATAGCATGCACCTAACCTACTCAGCAGAGAATTGGATAGAATTGATGAGACTTTACTAACTTTGCTTTTTTGCTCTCTATTAAATTCAGATGGTAGAGGAAGGTCCCTGCTTTAGTGTGTTTAATTTTATGTGTATGTGTGCAAAAAAGTCCTTTCTCCCTCCACTGAAAAAAATGGACATATGAGCTTATTTTCTAAATTTTTTTTTTTTTAAAGGTTTTATTTATTTGACAGAGAGAAAGACAGCCAGAGAGGGAACACAAGCAGGGGGAGTGGGAGAGGGAGAAGCAGGCTTCCCGCGGAGCAGGGAGCCCGATGTAGGGCTCGACCCCAGGACCCTGGGATCATGACCTGAGCCGAAGGCAGACGCTTAACAACTGAGCCACCCAGGCGCCCTGAGCTTATTTTCTTAGTAACTTTAACTCACTTTGTACATAAAGTTCTCCACCCTGTGTCTTCTGGGCTTTGACAGAGCAGTTTACATTTGAGTGAAGTAGAGTAGATCCAACAAATTGAATTTTCTAAGTGAAGTAGATAATTTCTGCATCAAAATTCTTTCTAAACCATGATGATTTGGGGGTTAGGGGTCAGGGAGAGTATAGTTATTCTTGTGCATGAAATTTTGAAATTTTGCCAGAGAATAATAAATGTTTTTGGGGGGCCAAATGTTCCCAGAGGAAGTTGGCAGAAGTCACCGAAGAAGAGTGGCTGAGCATCCCTGAGGTTGGCGATGCCAGAAACAAACGTCAGCGGCACCCACGCTATGAGAAGCTGACTCCTGTTCCTGACAGTTTCTTTGCCAAACATCTACAGACTGGGGAGAACCATACTTCAGTGGATCCCCGGCAAACTGTGAGCATCAGAAAAGAAGGCGAATAGGTCTTTAGGCTGTTTGGGTAGACCTGGAGTGGGAGCCATGGGTGGTGTTAGAGTAAGTGCTTCTGTAGTTCAGAAGCTGGGCTGTGGTGAGTCTGGAGGGTTGCATGTCTATCAGGCTACAATGGAAAGATGTCAGACTTGATAGGATTCTTCTGCATGAAAATGCAATCCAGTGTTTTCTGTCCTCCCGCCCCGCCCCTGCCCCCAGCAATTTGGAGGTCTTAACACACCCTATCCAGGCGGGCTGAACACTCCATACCCAGGTGGAATGACACCTGGATTGATGACACCTGGCACAGGTGAACTGGACATGAGGAAGATAGGACAAGCAAGGAACACGCTGATGGACATGAGGCTGAGCCAGGTGAGTCTGTGTCATGCAGCATTTTCCTACAGATTGAGAAAATTGTTTTCTGATTATAAAACTAATGTATGTCAGTGGAAAGTTCATCTTTCAGAGTGCTTTATCACAAGATAAGCAGACCTGTGATGATGTATTTCCTGTCCCATTGTCAAGAGTGGCAGGACCCTGCACGCAGGCTGGTCTGTGCATCTTCCTAGGGGGCATGCACAGGTGCAGTGCGCCCGTGTGGCACTCCTGCTCCCTCTTAGGGGGCTGAGGACTGTTGCAGGTGACAGAGGGTGGCCTGGCAGACAGGCTGAACAAAGGCACTTAACGACAAGCTGCATGCTGTTGCTGAAGTTTCATCCTTCCATAGAAGTTAAGTGCATGTGTACATCACTCAGCCATACAAAAGAATGAGATCTTGTCATTTACAACAATATGGGTAGGCCCAGAAGGTATTATGCTAAGTGAAATAAGTCAGAGAGATAATACCATATGATTTGATTTATGTGTGGACTTTAAAAAACAAAACAAGTGAACAAACACACCAACCAAAAACCAGACTCTTAAACACAGAGAACAGATTGGTGGTTGCTAGAGGGAAGTGGCAGATGGGTGAATTAAAGGGGGTTAAGAGGTACAAACCTCTGGTTATAAAACACGTCATGGAGAGGAGAAGGACAGCGTAGGGAATATGGTCAGTAATGTAACATTGTACGGTGACCGCATTTATTGTGGTCAACGCTGAGTAATGTATGAAGTTGTCAAATCATTGTTATACACCTGTTACACATTGTATGTTAATTACACTTCAGTTAAAAAAACGTTAAGTGCGCATATTTTCCCCCTGCACTTGAGTGAATTGTTCAGTGCTCTAGAAAACCCTTTCTAATTATGACATGCACGCCAGAAACCATGAAGAAAAAGACTTTCAAATTTGATTACATACGAATTAAAAACTTGTGGGTAGTAGAAAACACTGCAAAGTCACAAGAACACACAAACTGGGAAGAAGAGTGCTCGTGTGCTTGACCGCCAGCGGCGGAGTTGTGTGTATAACAGTCCTGTGCACACGCAGATGCGTTTGCACATACTTATGAGATTTCCAGGGCTACGCTCTCACACCACCAGGGCATGAAATAGGGGTGTGGAGTGGGAGCTTCATGTTAAATTATTTTAAGGAAAAATTTCACATGTAATTGGAAGTGGAAAGATAGTGTGGTTTCGATGCAGTAGGAAACTTGTAAATTTTAATTGAGCTTTTACTGTACTTGAATTTTTTATGGTGAGCAAATATTTTATAATAAAAATCAGTAGCTTGTAAATTTAAAAACTGCACCTTTTTATGTTCCTGGCTGTGTACTTTATAAATTGGAGAGTAGTTCACTGTTTATGGGTATCGTGATTTAATCTTTAATTGAGGAACTTTTTGGGTTTTTACTTTTTTTTGCTATGACAAACCACGTTTTGGTGAACCTCTTGTGATTCTATCATTTAAACATTTTTATAGTATCTTTAAAGTGGAATTAGTGGATTTTTTTTTCACTTAAATACTAAATTGTCTCTCCAGCATGTGGCATTTCAGAGTCTGTGGGCACAGGGTTGAGGGCATCACCTCTGTCGTCATCACTGATTTGAGGGCAGGACCCCCCCCGCCCCCCCCCAATAAGCAAGCCTTGGTTTAGTTTTCGGTTTTATTAGTGGTGAGGTCGAGCATCTTTCCCTGTATGTTAGTCAGTCTTTGTCAGTTTTTCTGTGACAAGCTTCTTTTGTCATTTGCTCTGCCCATTTCCCTCCTTTTTTTTTTTTTATTTGATAGAGAGAGACACAGCGAGAGAGGGAACACAAGCAGGGGGAGGGGCAAAGGGAGAAGCAGGCTTCCCGCGGAGCAGGGAGCACGATGTGGGGCTCGACCCCAGGACCCTGGGATCATGACCTGAGCCGAAGGCAGACGCTTAACGACTGAGCCACCCAGGGGTCCCAGAAATAACTTCTTTAAAAAAACTTTATATGGTAACTTTTTCGGGGTAAAATATGTATGATAAAAGCTACCATTATAACAATTTTTAAGTGCGACATTAAGTGCATTCATATTATTGTACGGCTATTGCCACCACTGGTCTCTGGAACTTTTTCATCTTCCCAAACTGAAGCTCTGTCCCCATGAACTTCCCATTTCCCACCCCAGACCCTGTTAACTTCTGTCTTTATGAATGTGACAGCTCTAGGTTCCTCCTGTGACTGGATCCATACAGTATTTGTCCTTCTGGGCCTGGCTTGTTTCACTTAGCATAACATTCCCAAGGCTCATCCACGTTGTAGTTGTGTGTGTCCATATTTCCTTTCTTTTTAAAGCTGAAAAATACTCCATTGTATGAATGGACGGATCCCATTTTATCTAGTAGTCTGTCAATAGGCACTTGGGTAGCTTCCACCTTTTGGCCGTTGTGCATACTGCTGCCGTGGACGTAGGTGTGCAGATAGCTGTTTGAGTCCCTGCTTCCAGTTCTTCTGGGTATAAACCCAGAAGTGGAATTGTGGATCATATGGTGATTCTGTGTTTAATGTTTTGAGGAGCCTCCATACTGTTTGCCACAGCAGCGCACCCTTCTAGATTTCCAGCAGAGCAGTGCTGCGTGAGGGTTTCGGTTCCTCCATATCCTGGACAACAACTGTTATTTTCTGATATTTTGGAAATAGCCATTGTGATGGGTGTGAAGTAGTATCTCATTGTGGTTCTCCTTCATGTTTCCCTGATTAGTGTTTTTGAGTGTCTTTTCATGCGGAGAAATGTCTTCTTGTGTCTTTTCCTTGGAGAAATGTCTACTCAAGTCCTTTGCCTATTTTTTTTTGATAGTTTTATGGTTTTATTTACAAATAAAACATGCACATAAGCTGTCTTTTCATTTTCTTTGCTGCGCAGCCTGGCATCGAGATTGGTGACTCTGAGGGCCAGCTGGGCTGCTCTTTCACAGTGGCTCTGCGGTTCTTGGAGGAGAAATTGTGAGCAGTCTCTGCACAGTGGATTTGTTGCACTCAGCCCCTCAGGCTCCTTGACATTGTGGACTAGGAACTTCCAGAGCCCCTGGGCAGCATGTGCGTTGTCTTGTTGCTGCTGTAACCATTGCTGGGCGTCAAGATCTGGCCCTCGAATCTTGCGTGCACCCTACTGTCAGTGCCTCTGGGTTTCCACCAGTTGCACTTAATTTTGACATACTGGTCTGACTGGTGCCAGATGAACTTTTTGGTCCACTTTTGGATGATCTTGGGCTTCACCAGAGGTCGAGGGCAGCCTTGATGCTGAACAAGAGATGGCTGTCACCTCTGCAGTAGCACTGGGGAGGAGCTGCCCATTTTTTTTTTTTTTTTTTTTTTAAGAGCAGTTTTAGATTCACAGCAAAGTTGAGACGAAAGGACAGAGATTTCCCATATAGCCTCTGTCCCTGCACATGCACAACCTCTTCTGTTACCAACATCCACCATGGAGTGGGCCATTTATTAAAATTGATGAACCTACATTTACGTATCGTCACCCAAACCCATAGTTTATGTTACGATTCATTCTTGGTGCTGTGCATTTTATGGATTTGGACAAATGTGTAATGACACGTATCCACCATTATGTAGTCGACTCTTGAATAGTGCGGGGGTTGGGGCATTGACTTCCTGCTCAATTGGAAATCTGCATATAGCTTTTTACTCCCCAAAAACTTAACTGCTAAAGCCTGTTGTTGACTGGAAGCCTTATTGATATCATCAACAGTTGACGAACACATTTCATATGTTATGTCTATCATGTACTGTACCCTTAGAATAACGTAAGCTCAAGGAAAGAAAATGTTATTAAGAAAATCGTAAGGGAGAATATATCTACAGTACTATATTGTATTGAAAAAGATCCATGTGGACCCGTGTAGTTCAACTGGTGCTGTTCAAGGATAAGCTACCGTATCACACAGAATAGTCTCACTGCCCTGAGAACGCTCTGTGCTCTGCCTGCTCATCCCTCCTCACCCCCCAACCCCTGGCAACCACTGATCTTTTACTGTCTCCATAGTTCTGCTTTTTCCACAACGTCACGTAGTTGGACCCATACCGTGTGTAGCTTTCTCAGATTGGCTTCTCTCACTTAGTGATATACATTTAAGGCTCCTCCATGTCCTTTTTTTTTTAAAGATTTATTTATTTATTTGAGAGAGCGAGAATGAGAGAGAGAGAGTACATGAGAGGGGGTCGGGTTAGAGGGAGAAGCAGGCTCCTTGCTGAGCAGGGAGCCCGATGTGGGACTCGATCCAGGGACTCC